AACTATCGTTCTCATTTAGAAAAGAATTCATGTTGATTGTACTTTCAAATAAGAATTCATCTATGTAGTGTTATTATTAAAATTTTTTTTTTTTTTTTTATATTATATAAAAACATAGATGTTTTATTTGCTTAGCTTTTTTTTATCATTCGTATTGGTAGCATACGTTTAGATTTCAAAGTTAAGCCTCTTTTTTCTTCTAATTATCAAATAACAGTTCGAACATTAACATCATCACCTAATATCATCAAATATTTAATCTTTTTATTTTTTTCAAGTTTTATCTTTATCATAATGATAAACGAAGAAAATCATCAAGATAAGATTAGATTTTATTATAAAAATTTAGTAAATTTAATCATGTTAATTGTGACCATCATTCAAGAATATTTATTATAAGTTAAACCAATAGTTAATGCAAGCTAAAATGATAGTAATAGAATTATTTCAAGAAAAATTTTTTTTTCTTAGTTTTACTTGAATTGTTGGTAGATAATCAACAAAATCATAATTAATACATTCGAATGGTAATCATATAATAATTTGTAAACATGATACAAATAAATCATCACGATATTCTTTTTGATGATAATCGATTTCATTAGCAAATCGTCGAACAAGCCAGCAAACAGATGTAACTTGTTCATTTTCATTTATATAAATTTCCATCATTTCAATACCAGCACGTCTAACGATTTGACTAAAACAAAATGTTCAAAATTGATAATAAAAGATTTGTTTTAATTATTTTAAAATAATCAAGCTTTAAACAAATATTAATAACGAATGTAGCAAATCGATATCGAAATTAATTTATATTTATTTAATTTATATCAAATAATTAAGAATTCTATAGACATACTTCGTTTATCTACTCATAATATAGTATAAAAATCAAAATATCCATTTTTGAAATAATTCTGTTTGCCCATGTATTACAATGGCACTAGTACAATTCGTCGCACGACAATTCGTCGCGATCAATTCGTCGCAGAATATTTTCTTTCGTTCTGTTCGTCGCGAACAATATCATTGCGATCAATATTTCGATCTCGCTCTTAATTAATTTTTTTGTGAAACCAAATCCGAATAAAAAAAAAAGAAATGAAAAAATGTGAACGATGTA